CCGATGACTCGGAATTATGACGGACCATGACACCTCCGTTTGGGGAATCTTCGGTGGTAAAGGACACTCATATCATAATCTTTTAAGAGTTCCAACCACCTCCTTTGTCGGATATTCAATTCTTTTTGGCTAAAAACATATTGAAGACTCTTGTGGTCGATAAAGACATCCACATGTACCCCATAGAGATAGTGTCTCCAAATCTTTAAAGCAAAGACTATGGCCGCTAGCTCAAGGTCATGAGTTGGATAATTCTTCTCATGCACCTTGAGTTGTCTCGAGGCATAAGCTATAACTTTACCATGCTACATGAGGACACAACCCAAACCCACTCAGGAAGCGTCACAATATAGTACAAACCCTTCGGTGCCCTCCGATAAGGTCAAAACCGGAGCGGAGGTGAGCTTATCTATCAACAATTGGAAGCTCTTTTCACAAGATTCCGACCATTCGAACTTGGACTTCTTTTGAGTTAAGGTCGTTAATGGAGATGCAATAGATGAAAATCCCTCAACAAACCTCCGGTAGTAACCGGTCAAACCCAAAAAGCTTCGGATGTCGAAGGATTCAAAGGTCTAGGCCAACTTTTGACCGCATCGATTTTCTTTTGGATCAACTTCTATACCCTCAGTAGAAACAATGTGACCAAGGAAGCAACTGATCTTAGCCAAAACTCGCACTTGCTAAACTTAGCATAGAGTTGGTTGATTTTTCAGGGCTTGCAATACTATCATCAAATGATTCATGTGATCATCCTCACTTTTAGAGTATATCTAGATGTCATCAATAAAGACAATAACAAATGAGTCTAGAAAATTTCTAAACACACGATTCATAAGGTCCATGAAAGCCGCCGAGGCATTTACAACCTCCAAAAAATTACAAGCTATTTCCATAATTATATAGATCCTAGGAAATCTACCAACTGTTCTACTTCTTCTATACCATCTTCTTTACACCAAAAAAACAACATGTTAATGCAATTTTCTTTAACTTTCTGAATAGAGTTAGTAATATTCTCATGACACCTAAGGTTTCTTTCTCTCCAAATAGCCCACCAGACACAAGTAGGTACTATAGAGCACCATCTTTTTTGGGTCTTGCTCCCCCCCCCTCCGCATCCAGCAGCTCAAGAGATCAGCAGTATGTTCTGGCATCACCCAGGGCTCTTGAGAAATGCTGAGAACCATGCGCCACACCTGTACAGTAACCCTACAGTGTAGGAATAAGTGGTTGTTAGTTCGGAAGGCTGTTTTCGGAACATCAACACCTCTCACCCTAAGTTGGTGATAACCCGACCTCAAATCAATTTTTGAAAAGTAACTCACTCCTTGAAGTTGATCAACTAAGTCATCAATCCTAGGAAGTGGATACTTGTTCTTAATGGTCACCTTATTTAACTGTCGGTAATCAATACACATACAAAGAGATCCATCCTTCTTCTTCACAAATAACACTGATGCACCCCAAAGAGATATACTAGGTTGGATGAAACCCTCATCCAACAAATCTTTGAGTTGAGCTTTTAATTCCTTCAACTCCGCCGGGGCCATCCGGTAAGGAGGGATTGAAATGGGTTGTGTATCCGACAATAAATCTATGCCGAAATCTATTTCCCATTCGAGAGAAACCCCAGATAAGTCATCGGGAAAGACTTCCGGAAAATCCTTCACTACAGGGACCGACTCCAAAGGAGGAATCTCGGACTCAAGATCCTTGACCCTCACAATATGATAGAGACAACCCTTAGAAATCAACTTACAAGCTTTTAGACATGAAATGATCCTTCCCCTAGGAACGGAATTTCCTCCCTTCCATTCTAACATGGGTTCATTAGGAAATTGAAACTTACACAATTCGGGTCCTACAATCTATGGACGCAAAACAAGCATGAAGCCAATCACACAATCTACCTTGATACCTCAACACACCATTTCCCCCTTGTTCTAAAGACAATATTTTTTGCTTATGAACATTTGCTTTCAATTCAAGCAAAATAGGATCTTGGTCTTGCTTCTCTTTTACTTCTGACACTAATGATGATTCATCCCCATTCATCACCACTACTCCTTTTTCTGTGGAATCCATTAGACGAACTCCTAATCGTGCAAGTCTATGCACATCTCTTGCTAGCTCTTTCTTATCTTTCTCAAAATGGGCGGTACTACCCATAGACAACCTGCTCAAGGCATCATTAACAACATTAGCCTTACCTGGGTGATAAAGAATATACATTTCATAATCCTTGAGTAATTCCAACCACCTCATTTGTTTGAGATTAAGCTCTTTTCTGAGTAAACTCATACTGAAGGCTCTTGTGATCAGTGAACACATCCACATGAGTACCATAAAGATAATGACGCCATATTTTCAAAGAAAAAACTACAACGGCCAACTCTAGATCATGGGTTGGGTAGTTCCTCTCATGAACTTTCAACTGTCTGGAGGCATAATCTATAACTTTGTCATTCTGCATTAATACACAACCCAAACCAACTCTAGACGCATCACAATATACAACAAAGCCTTGTATACCTTCTGGTAAGGTCAATACTGGGCAGTAGTCAACCTCTTTTTCAATTCCTGAAAGTCTTTCTCACAAGGTTCAGACCATTGAAACTTCACTATTTTCTGAGTTAACTTGGTCAAAGGGAATGAAATAGTTGAGAACCCCTCTACAAACCTTTTATAATAGCTAGCCAAACCCAAGAAACTCCTAATATCAGTTGGAGATGTGGGTCTAGGTAAATTCTGCACTGCCTCTATTTTTTGAGTATTAACTTTCATTCCCTCTCCAGACACAATGTGGCCTAAGAATGCCACAGACTCAAGCCAAAACTCACACTTAGAGAACTTGGCATATACTCCCTATCTTTTAAAGTCTGGAGAACTATTCTGAGATGACTAGCATGATCTTCTTCATTCCTTGAATAGATTAGTATGTCATCAATGAAGACGATAACAAACATATCTAAATAAGGTTTGAAAACTCTATTCATAAGGTCCATGAATGATGCAGGTGTATTGGTCAAACCAAAGAACATGACCAAAAACTCATAATGATCATAACAGGTTCTGAAAGCTGTCTTTGGAATGTAACATTTCCTTACTCTTAACTGATGGTAGCCTGATCTAAGATCTATCTTAGAGAAACAGGTGGCACCCTGAAGTTGATCGAAAAGATCATCAATCCTTGGGAGAGGATATTTGTTCTTGATGGCAACCTTGTTCAACTGACGGTAATATATAAACATCCTAAGGAAACCATCCTTCTTTCTCACAAATAAGACCGGAGCGGCCCAAGGTGAGACACTTGGTCGAATGAAGCCCTTATCAAAGAGGTCTTTCAACTGCTCTTAAGCTCTTTCACCTCTGCTGGTGCCATTCTATATGGCAGAATAGAGATAGGACGAGTATCTAGAAGAATGTCTATATCGAAGTCTATTTCTCTCTCAGGAGGGACTCCGGGAAGATTTCTGGAAACTCTTTTACTACTGAAACTGACTGAATAGGAGGTATCTCAACACTAGAGTCATTAACTCAGACTAAGTGATAGACACACCCCTTAGAAACTAACCTCTTTGCCTTAAGGTACGAAATAAAACGACCCTTAGGCACTGCTGAACTGCTTTTCCACTCTAAGATTGGCTTATTTGGAAACTAAAACTTGACAACTCGAGTTCTACAATCAACTGAGGTATAACAGGCATAAAGTCGGTCCATACCAAGAATGACATCAAAATCTATCATGTCTAACTCAATTAAATCAGTCATGATACTCTTGTGATTGATGGAAACATGACAATCACGATAGACTCTCTCTACTAGAATAGACTCACCAACAGGTGTAGAAATACTGCATGGTTCACTAAGTTGCTCAGGAATAACATCAAAATTCATTGCAACATAAGGAGTTACAAAGGTAAACTCGCTCCTGGGTCTAGCAAAGCATAAACATTAGAGTTAAAGACTTGGATCATACCAGTGACAACATCTGGCGAATCTTCTTGTTTCTGGCGACTGGTGATAGCATATAGGCGGTTTGTTCCTCCGCTAGTACCGGAAGTAGCCCCTCTAGATGCAGCTCTGTTTGGTGGAGCAACAGAAGAAGACTGTGCTCTATTGCCCTCATTACCATTACCCTTCTTGTTTTTTGGACACTCTCGCATGAAATGCCCATTCTGGCCACACTTGAAACAACCAGTGGAGCCCTCACGACATGTACCTGAGTGGTTCCTACCACACTTAGTACAGGCAGGTGGCTTACTACCCCCTTGCACGATACTACCCTAAGAATAGGCAAGCTTGGCTCTGAAATTCTGACTATTGTCCTCACTCTTATTATTTGGTGTTGGTGCACTAGCAGATGATGGAGCAGCCCCTTCTGTTTCTGTTGGAAGGATGATCGGTTGGCATTACTCTTCTGCTACCCGGACTTGTTCCCTGTCTTAGCTCTTTTGTTCTTAAACTCCTCTCTATCCCTCAGCTTCTCTTCCTCAACATGTTGCACATATACCATTAACCTCGATATATCCATGTTCTCAATTAGCATCGCTGCCCTTCCCTCTTTGCTTGATAGACGGGACAACCCAGCAACAAACAGACTCATTCTACTCCTCATATCCGCAACCATCTCCGGAGCATAGCGAGATAGTTGGGTGAACTTCAACCCATACTCATGAACACTTAGTGACTCTTGCTTAAGGGTAAGGAACTCTCATACCTTAGCCTCTTTCAGTTCTCGAGAAAAGAAACGCCCGAAGAAGGCCTCTTCAAAACATGCCCAACTCGCAAGTGGTGCTCCCTCAGCTCTACCCTTCTTCCACTGGTCAAACCAAGTCCTAGCAACATTCTTCAATTGATATGCAGCTAGTTCAACTCGCTCAATATTGACAACGTGCATAACATCAAATACCTTTTTCAGTTCCTCAATAAAGTTCTCTGGATCCTCAGTGGTGCTTGAACCAATGAAACTTGGAGGGTTCATCCTCAAGAAATCACGAATTCTCGAAGTGTCAGCCTCTACTTGTCGAGCTCCTCTTTGTTGCCCAACCTGATTAGTCACAGCTTGACTTAGCATCTTAGCCTTACGAAACTCAGCATTGGTTACCTCTCCTTGGGGTTGCACGTTTGGTGCAGTAGGTACCCCTAGTTCCTGTGGTTTAACATTACGCCTAGCAGGATGACATCTGACAGCTCTTCGTGGAGGCATGATTATCTGAAAACACGCACAAGCACCGATTAGAAGGAATCTTTTTAGAGATCAAACTCTAACGCACGAAAGAGTGTGAAAGAAGTGAGAAATTTTCCTAAGTGTTGCAGCCTCCTAATTATAGATGTGGCGCACTTCACATCGATAACTAGGACTCTACAGACACGGCTTCATAGACTCTCTAGGACTCTTGAACTTTGTGCTCTAATACCAAGTTTGTCACGCCCAGAGCCTACACCCCGGACGTGGCTGGCACTCGTGAACCATTGTTGGCCCCAAGCGAACCCTTGTCCTGACTTACTTACTCAGCGAAAGACTTAACTCAACAAAGATAAATCAATGTAATAAACTGGAATGTTATAAAGGAACATTCAACTGGCCATTAAGGCAACCTCAAGTCTCAACATAAGATAAATACAATGAAAACACTAAAGAACTAACATCTGACTATCTATCTATGAAGCCTCTAAAACAACTGAGATGAATATCGGGACAAACCCCACGACATCCTAATGAACTGATAATAATACCGAAAGCAATAAAAGGGATCCTCTGGAAAGCAAGGAGGCTCACCACAAGACTCTGAAGTGTTCAACTGATCAACGATACGCTAGATGCCGATCTTAGTTACATGTGTCTGCATCATAATAAGATGCAGGCCAAATGACATCAGTGCATTGAATGTACAAGTATGCGAGGGGAATTCTAAAACAAGACATAAGCTTGAAAGGAAATGAAGAACTTACCTAGCTCAACTGAACTGAACTGAACTGAACTGATTTCAATATAAAGTAGTGTAAATAAATGCAGTATAAAGAAAAGCTTTAAAACATGGTTTTCAACTATGTGTATTTAGAAATACAATGACTCTGTATGTATGGAAAGATACAATATGAACTCTATTTGTATATAAAAATACAAATATTTTTGATGTATTTAAAAATACAAAATACTGTTGTGGGAGTTTTTCTAACCGACAACCATCACTTAAGAGCTATCGTGATGATACAATGTTTTGCCTCACGCTGCAAGGGTCGTCCTATACCTTGCTAGGGGTATAGAACTTGAACTATTAAGTGGATCCACTAGTCTATGCTAAAAAGCACTATGGAATCATCTAAAAAGTATAACCCTTTCTACCCATGGTGGCTACATGGTTTATGGGGGTTGTGAGTTGTCTGAAATCTCCCTCATATCGGTGCTCAATACTACTCCCAAAATGTGATACTAGCTCTTATGTTTAAAAAAACATACTTCTTTCTGTGATTTGAGATAATTACTCAAAAACTTAGCTCAAAGGCTCCTCTTGGAAATCAAAAATTTCCTCTCTTGCTTAATTGTGAAAGCATTTACCCTTTAACTGAAAACTAGCTCAAAGGCTCTTTGGAAATCTCAGTTTCCTTTCTTGTTTAAAATGTGAAAACATTTTACTCTTTACTGAAAACTAGCTCAAATGCTCTTTTTGGAAATCAAAGTTTCCTTTCTTCTTTAAATGTGAAAATATTTTAAACTCTTTGGAAATACAATCCCCATATACTCTTTTGAAGAACTGAACTTCAAACTTTTTACTATTTACTGAACTCAAAACACAAGTCTTAAAACAAAGTTAAAACATTTGTAAAAGTCTTTTGAAAGACTCTATGAACTTCTCTTGACTTGACTCTTAAGTTTTCTTGAATTGAATTATGGATTCAAGGATTGTGATTTTTGATAGGAAAAATCTCATGATGTTTAGGAGTGTTTTTAGATAGTTAAACATGAGAAAAGATCAAGAAATTACTGTTTGGAAACTAGTCCGCGACTCAGAGATACATTTAAATATTTGGTCACGAAATAAATTTTGAGGCAGAACGGTTCGTGACCACTCTGCTCCGCGAAGATATTTTTTTCAATCCTGAGGAATAGGTCCGCGACGCGGACCTGGTACCCAGATTTTGCCGACTTGTTCATTCTTCGTTTTCTAACCTCAAATCGCCTATATTCGATTCTTTTTCTCCAATTCTCTTTAGATTCAGATACCCAGAATATTTACACAAGAATCTAATCGTACACAACTCTAAAATCGACCTTAAACTCTCAAGAACTCCTCAATCTCATCCCAAATTCAAGAACGAAAGTAAATTCAAGAACACACATCAAGAACATTCTAACTTTCAACTTTTAGGACGAATTCATGCTGAATTAAACATATTTGGAGCGTGGGTGAACGAACCCAACGCTGTGTGAACTCACATACCTCATAGGGATCACCCCTTGACGAAATCCACGATCCTAGCTTTGAGAATTTGACGATTTTGGCTTCTTCTCCTCCTTTCTCTTCTTCTTTTCTCTTCTCTAAAATCCTAACTCAATATTTGTACAAGTGTAAACTGAATCCTATCAGCTTAGACCCCAATTAATTACCAAAAATGAAATTACGTCATGGGGTATGGAAAAGACCATAATGCCCTTCTAAAATCCGGATTAGACTTTCCTTATTTGAACAACCTAACTTCAAATGAGCATATCTCACTCATACGAACTCGAATCGCGCAAACTCGACGGTGTTGAAAAGATTATTCCAAGATCTTTCCTACAATATCCGAAAATACACCTAAATCATCCTGAGCTAGGAGTCATGGTCGTTTGAAGTTGACCAAAAACTCAACTTAACATACTTAACAATTTTCCAGATTTTTATATTGTTTCCAAAAATGACTATTTCCAATTTTTAACTTATTTCTAGTTACGGGGTGTTACAAATGGATATTCCTAAGAGTTAGCCTTGCATTGTGCAATACTTAGAGGAGTATACTCCACTTCTAATCACAAAAGTTGTTACTTGGAATGTCCCTGGGAGGGGAACTTCCAAATGCAACTCTGATGGAGCATGTAAAGGCAACCCAGGTCCTATGTCCAGTGCCTTTTGTGTGAGGAGTGACAGTGGAGAATTTGTATATGCTGAAACAAGAACAACATGGGAAGGGGCTGTACTAGAAGCTGAAGTAATTGCATTGAGATTGGGGCTTGAGCATTGTATAAATCAGAAATTACCCTGTTACACTAGAGACAGATTCATTAGCTCTTAAGACCATCATTGATAGACCAGGTACAAATCATATTACATATACTAGTTTCGAGCAAGTTCCAAGTGCAGGAAGAGCAATCATACAGATGGAAAAACTTAGAATCCCAAACTTGCGCATAAGAAAATTCCAAAACAAGCAGGGTATAGATAAAGCAACAACTAGTTGAATAGCAAAAATACCAATTTCCACAGAAAGTTAAATTCATAAGATATGATAAACCTCATCCCTGAATAGTGGTATTAGCTTTTTTGGGAGCTCAATCTATTAAGCGGTGAGTTGAATCAAATCATATGAAATTATCAAGTGTTTAAGGGATTAGGGGTAGCGGTACTCACTGTTACAAAGCTTTTTGGTCCTATAAAGCTATGCTGAAGGAGTCTTCAACGAGTTAGAGTCATGGCGCTAGTGAGAATTTTGAGTGTCTCCAATGTCTTCTACTCAAGCTAGCTTCCTCTTGGACCATGAGGTGAACAAGATCTGGAGTTACAGCTGCCTGCCCCTTTCCGATCGCCGCCGAACCATAGCTCGAGCTTGTGAAGAAGACGAAGGAGCTGAAGAGTGGTCTTTCCAGTTCCTTGAGTTTCTATCTGTTTTGTTTGGGTCCAGAAATGGACCAGCTCTATTTTGTTTTGTTTTATATTCTGTTATTTTTCCTTTATCAATGAAATGGCCTCATGGCCTTTTGGTTAAAAAAACTCACTCACTCACTTCTGCTTGTGCTCTTATACGAATTAGTTTCTGAACACATGCCCGTGTAATGTTTTTTAGATCAATAAAATGATTAAAATTACAAAGCTATGACATTTGAAAATTCATAGAAGATCAAATTAAAGAAGTCTAATAATGAGAAAAATAAATAAAAACATAAAAGAAAAATACAATATACACATCTCTCATAAGACTTTGATCATGACAATATAGATGGAAGAAGAAATATAAAATCAGTACATAATATTTCGGGTTCTTATCAACATCTTCCACAATCAAGAAAAATTCAAAAATCTTCTTCACCAAGTAAAACTAAAAACATGAATCAAATAGCAAATAATAATAATAGTTTCATGTTACCTTATAAACATAAGCTCTTAAACACAGAAGAAAATAAATTTACTTGATGTCGTAAGTTACTATTCTTTTGTATACCTTTATATAGTGCAAGCAAGATAGATGCTAAAGAATGACAAAAGTCCCACATCGGTGGTTAATGAGATGAGTGAACTCCTTATAAGGCTTGGACAATCCTCCTCCCTTTGAGCTAGCTTTTGGGGTGTGAGTTAGGCCTAAGACCTAATTTAACATGGTATCAGAGCAGGGCCCGTCTCACCCGATGTTGGGACCCCCAAAATCAAAATTGTCCACGCACCAGATGCTAAGCACTGGGCGTGAGGTGGGGTGTTAAAGAATGACAAAAGTCCCACATCGGTGATTAATGAGATGGGTGGACTCCTTATAAGGCTTGGGCAATCCTCCTCCCTTTGAGCTAGCTTTTGGGGTGTGAGTTAGGCCTAAGACCTAATTTAACAATAGAAAGATGAGTAAAAGATAATTATTAATACTAAATACAGGTAGAAGCTCAAAGGATAAAACAAATGAGGTTGAAATACGAAAGACTAAACATAAACAATGTATTTAAAAACTTTTATAGGTAGCATCTGTTAATAATTGAAAGTTATGAATATGAAAAGAATGAGAGTTATATCAAGAATAACAAACAAATAGATAATTAAATATGAGTCATGAAGATGAATTTAAAATAAATAAAGGAGAAAAATAATAAATAAAGAAGAGAAAAAAAATTTAGTTTGTATGATATTAAGTGCAATGAAAATAAATACAAAAAAAACACAAAAGATAAAAAAAAATGTAATTAATTAATTTTTAAAAGAATAAAAATATCTAATATCTTTCGATGAATATTTTTGTTTTTCTTCATTTAAGTTCACTTTTTCACTTTTAATATTTAATCATAACATGCTATGATTATTATTTAATATTTAATTAATTAGATATTTTATAAAATACTAAATTAAGTTTAGGGGTAAAATGATATTTCAACTTTTACTTTTGTGGCTTCGAGAGAGAAGAAACTCATTAGAAAATGTTAAAGTATCGAGAAATATGTAATGCGGTTAAAAGCTGTAGAGGTTTGTAAGAGCGAAAATAACTAGTTAGAAAACATTTGGAAGAGGCAACAGAATTTATTGACAAAGATAAAAACAGAGTTTCTTCAATTGAAAGCAGAAGCTGCAGTTTCAGTTTGTTGGTTATTATTCTATTCTATATTGACTGTCCAGTCCAGCATTACCAGAGTACCACGAGACAGACTTTCTTCACAGATAAAGAAATTCGAAAGAATGGCATGCAATTTTCAGTTTTAGTTAAAAGATGATCCTGCACACAGCTACTCTACTACCACCCCATGCTAAAACTGATAAGTGCCCATTAGTTTACATGATTGCCTTTTCAACCCCAGTCTAGTATTTGGTACATTACACAACCCATCGATCTGATTAAAGTAACTAATCTCAATTGGCCGCATCTACATAATGCCCAGTTTTTCGTCTATGCCGACTATAATCTGATACAAACCTAAAAGTCAGTCCACAACCCTCACCCTTGCACTTGTATGGCCGCTCACCAGTATGTACGCGCAAATGTTCAGTTCTTGCCCAGGTCCACTTGAATGTCATGGTGCACCCCTTCCATGGACATTTCAAGGGCCGATCACTTTCATGAACGCGTTGATGAACCATAGCATATTTGTGGGAGGTAAATTTCTTCTCACACCCTTCAATGGGGCACCGGTTCTGTTTGTGCAGTTGCAGCTCTACCTTTGTCTGGAAACTCATCCAGCACCCTTCCAAGTTACACCTATGACTTCCCTTCTTCTGTTCTTTCTTATCCTTGGGAATGATGGAACTATGTAAAGACCTTTTCACCTTATTTCCCATAGGTTTCTTCTCAAGAAATTCCTTAGTATCAACTCTGCTCCCAGGTACATTTTTCCTAGCTCGTGGCCTTAAACCTTCACATGGACTTTTAACAAAGCCACTAACACTACATCCATAATCAGTTGAGAGGTCTAGCTCACACCTCCTTTTGCCACCATTTTTTCCATTCGTATGCTGCTCAGAGATGTCATCACCACACTGTGAGTGCTTAGTACTAGATGTCTCTCTCGTCATTTTGAGACTTTCTGCTGAGGCAGAAGCTTCTTCTATGGGTGTGACATGGTCACAGACAGCTATGTCTTTAACTGAGTTATGAATTTGGATTTCTTGCTCCACAGATTTGAGCAAAGTTTCACTATCAGATTTCTCACTACCTGAGCCAAATTGTTGCGAGTCTTGATCCTCAATCTTCTTATCACAACTTCTTGAAGGACCATCAGTGCAAGATCCTGAGGAGTTGACAGGCATGGGAGATCTGGTCATAATAGCTTTATCATCCCCACTATGATGATCTCTTTCAAAATTTGCTTCCGTCGGATGATCAGATTTATCTCTAATGACAGTTTCCGTCATATCCCGATTCTCCTCCAAATTTTCATTATATGCAGTGCTTTGAACCACATATATGGATGTACATGCAGGAGTATGCACATGTGCTATCTCTGTTTCTCCACTAGTCTCTGCAGCCATGGTCTTATTCTCTATATGGCAACTATTTGAATTTGTATCACAAGTTTTATCCTCCAAGGAAAACTTCTCAGTAGTACAAAGTTCAGCCTGGGCTTCATCGAATTCCACCATTAAAGATGTCGTCACAAGTAAATCTGGTTCTTGTGGTGCAAGGAGATCCCCATTTCGGTCTTTCTTTAGTAAAAGCATCTCATGTTCATATCGCAATCGGGGTTTCCCATCAGAAGAAGCAAAGAACCTTTCCGCTAAAGAAGCGGTGCCTGCATTTTCATCCCTGAGGTGAGTACTTCCCAATATTTTTGCATCTGCAAGTGAAACTTCTTTTGGAACATTAAATGGATCCATGAAAACCCTGGAAGCCTGCGCAGAACTACAATCCTTAGGCTTGTATTTTTTCCTGGAATACTGGATTGTTATATTCCCCTTTCTGACATTCTGCATGCCCACTGTAGACCCTGAAACTACCTTTGCTATTTGAACATTTGCAAATGGTGTACTTTCTGTTGAATGATTCAACTTTCTCTTTGAGCGCACTTTTCTGGACCGCCACTTGAGGAGACTCAAGGAATCTGAACTACGAGTTGTATCAGAGAATAATCCACCCAAAATCAATGCATGTTTTAATTTCTTAAGTGGACAGTTCCTTTGCACCTTCACACAGTGCCTTAAATTAATATTTAATTTCAGTGTCCAATCTTCTGCACATTTGTTTTGTTCTTCATCCCCGATTGAAAGATCAATCAATGAAAGATGTCCTTGAGATGCATTAGCCAGCGGAATCTCATTATATTTGAATGTCGTGCCAATTTCCTCTGCAACAACAGCAGCATGTCCTCTTATTTTTTGGAAGTCTACATGAAATCAAAAGTTGTAAAAAACGTTCAATACACCAAGAACTAGAAAAAACTGAAAACTTTAGTAGTTTCTTTGGTATTATCATCATTAAGACAATTCAAACGAGGTTGTACATGAGGAACCTTACCTGAATGGCAGATCACAAGAACATTTGCTCCACCTTTAGTATGCAGCAGTTCTTCAGTCTGAATTGCATGCTCAAGGCAAAATATCCGTGGTCTTACAAGACCTCTAGAAACATCACATTCCTTCTCAAGGTCAACTTTTGAAGTTGGGGCTGCATTATCTGTATGTGAAAGATGATGAGACTGTGATGTTTGACCCTCGTGCGGAGAAACTGCAGACTCGCTTGGCTGGGCAAACAAAGACACTTCATCATGGTTAAAGGAATGCACTCCATTTCTTTCAATTCTGTCAACTGCATGAAGAGGAAATTCAGTATTCCGCAGGCAAGTCCAATCATTCTGATAAATTTGCAGTATCTCCCAGACATGAGAATAACAATTATTTGACTGGACAAATGTTGCCAAATAGTTAGGTAAGTCACAATTAAACAGATAAATTGTAGCAGGTAACAACTTGGTCAAATGATGCTTAAGCTTTGCATTAGACCAGGTGTCCAGATTGTTAAAGAATATGCGGGGATTGGGCGTAACTCAAACCCCAAAAGTTTCAAAGGATGAGTATTGCCAAGACCATTTAAAGAGACAAAAATCCATTTTCTGATCCAATGTGAGGCACTTCACACCTCGTCTATGTTGCTCGGACCCTTCAAAATCCCAGCCACACCCATGTCGATCCAACCCAATTTGGGTGTGGAAATCACACCGGGTGTGGTCAACTTACCTTGGGTGCTTGACTACATCTACGACAAAGAAGTACAGATTGATTAGGTATTTGATTTATGATCTTTTGGTTTATGTCATATACATATAGTCATATAAAGTATGAGATGCTTTGCTATTATACGAGATTGTTTTACTGTAGTTTCTGCTCTGTTGCTATTTGTTGTTTTTTGTACATCGGACTATTATTTCTTTTGCGGGACTGTTTTGTTTTTTTTTCCTTGAGTCGAGGGTCTATCGGAAACATTCTCTCTACTTCTAAGGTAGGGGGGTAAGGTCCGCACACACTCTATTCACCCCAGACCCCACTTTGTGATTA